TGGCGCCTTCGGCGGGGCTCCCTATGGGTCCACGAAGCGTGTGATGGGGCGCGCCGAGATGGCGCGGGGCCGCCATGCGAACTTTGGTGGGGCTCCCTTACGGGGCCACGAAACGTGTGAGGCATGCGCCGAAAAGGATCGGGGCCGCCACGCGACATTTGTCACTGGGGCCTTGGGCGCGGCTCTCATGGGGCCAAGAAACACGTGAAGGGTGTGCCGAAATGGGGCGGGGCCGCCATGCGAACTTTGCCGCTGCGACCTTCGGTGGGGCTCCCTATGAGGCCGCGAAGCGTGCGAGGGGTGCGCCGAAACGGGGCGGGGCCGCCATGCGAACTTTGGCACTGGAGCCTTCGGTGGGGCCCCATCTTGGGCCACGAAACGGGTGAGGGGCGCGCCGAAATGGGGCGGGGCCGCCATGCGAACTTTGCTGCTGGGGCCTTCGGCGGGGCTCCCTCTGGGGCCACAGAACGCGCGAGGGGCCTGCCGAAATGAGGAGGAGGAGGAGAAGGGGGAGGAGGGGGAGGAAAAGGAGGAGAGGTGGGACGCGGGGCGCTGTCTCTTCAAAACGAGGACCCAATGCCACAGGATGGTTGGGAAAAGTTGGATTTGCCACCCGAGGCTGCTTCGCGAAAAACTGTTTCTGACCTGCGGGCCTGGGCCTGCGCCTCGATGTGCGCGAGGCGCGGCTTCCAGCTGGTAGTATTGACGGTCCGCGAATGCAGGTCTTCGTGACAAACCTCCTGGCTGCTTGCCTCATGGTGCCACCTGCTGGTCGCCGCCCTTGCCTTTGCCGTTTTTTCCCTTCGCCGCAGCTGCCTGGGCCTTTTTCGAACAGCTCCTCGACCGGAGGAAACGGGCTTGCGGCCGCAGCCCCTCCCCCTGGCAGCGGAACCGCAGGCTCGGAGCCTGACGCGGCTGCCGGCGGGGCTGAAGGTGGAGCGGGTACCTGTTCAGCAGCTGCCTCATCACCGGCGCCAGGTGCGACTGCAGGCTGGCCATTCTCGTCATCTTTGCGCCTCCGCTTGGCCTGCATGCGCAAGTTGGACTTTCGCTGCTTGCGCTCATCAGACGCCTTCTTTTCTGCTTCACTGACCTCCATCCCCTCCAGATCCAGTCCGAAGAGGCCGTTGTCGTCCACATCGATACTTCCACCATCCAACAACGCCTGCAGACTGATACGTTGAGTGTCAGGAACCACGATCGGGGCCTTTGGGAACAACCGCCTCAGAAACGAGCTTCTCCACAACGGCCTTGTACGTGGCTAGTTGTTGTATGCAACGACAGCTTAGCCTCGAGCTTCCTACGCTTGGAATGCAAGACCATCTGCAAAGTTGACAATTTCTCCATCTGGCGACGGGCCTGCACCATTGCATACTGTGCCGCTCCGAACGTGGGTGGTTTCTGCTTCGGGCCCTGCTCGGGTGACTGAATGATGGCGGCGTGCTTCTTGGATGCTTCAACATCTCCGAGGGCTGCCATGGACTTTTGAGCTTCCCGCAGACTGGGCAAATTCTCAACCGTAGACTTGTGGTGAACAACTCCTCCGATCGATTGCCAGACAGCTTCTCCCGACCATCCTGATTTCGCAAGCTGCTGCCCAACTGCGCGCGGCAGAGCAGACCCCCCACCATGAGCGCGAGCAGCATCGCGAATGTGTGGAAGCGACAAGGTTCCCCACACCTGAAGGCATGACACTCGTGTTTTCATGGACGTCGACGCGATTGGAGCCACCATTTTCGCACCACTTCCACCATCCCTCGTTCTTGGCTCAAAAGCATTTGGTGCATGTCCAACGCCGCTGCCAAGACAAGTGTTTGGTCTTCCAATATGCCCCATCGCGCAGGGCCATCGGAAGTGCGGGCACGCCCAAGGGCAGAACCGAGCAAATCCTGGCCCGTAACAGCAATGCCGTTCTGAAGTTCGCTGTTACAAGTTCCTCGTCCAAAGACTTAGGAACCAAAGCGGCTATCCTCCCCTCCTCCTCCTGTTCCTCCTCCTCCTGTTCCTCCTCCTCCTCCTGCTTCTTCTCCTGCTGCTGCTCCTCCTCCTCCGCTTCCTCGATCCTCGATTCTCGAAACTCGATCCTCGAGTTTTGCGGGGATGCGTGTCTTCTTCGATTTTGACCCTCGCCAGGCCGAGAGAGGCCTTCAGAGGCCTCCCGGGGTCAGTATCAGGGGCGGCGGCAAAGCTTACCAGCCACTCATGGTCTCTGTCTTGGGCCTCTCCTTGCCTCGGTCGTCGTCGCTGGCGTCGTCCGGGCCGGCATCCGTTCTGGACTCCCGGGCCTTCCCCCCGGACCAGTTCTTCATGCTGAACCGTTTCCGGCCCGTGGAGGGCCACATTTCCCTCAGGACCCGCTTCCCTCATGGCGAACGACGTCCAAGAAATAGCCGGCGCCGAGGCAGAGGCCGAGGTGGAGCCGAGCCGAGGTGGAGCCGAGCCGAGGCGGCCAGCGGGGCTCCAACCGCTGGCGGAGGCGCCCCCGAAGGGAGCCCGCCCCGAGGCTGGGGCCGGCAGACGCGCAGGCAGGCAAACATGTCTCCCGCAGGCTGGCAGGCAGGCTCGACCCGCCACGGCCTCCACCTTCCTCCTCCTCCTTTCTCTTCCTCCTTCTACTCCTCCCTCCTCCTCCCTCCTACCTGCCCCCTTCTTCCCTCCCACCTCCTCCTTCCTCTCCTTTCTGCTTCTGCTCCCTCCTCCTCCCTCCTAGTTCCTTTCCCCTCCTCCCTCCCTCCTCCTTGCTCTCCTTCATCTTCCTTCTCCTCCTCCTCCTCCTCCTCCTCCGTCTTCCTCCTATTCCTCCTCCTTCATCCTCCTCATTCCTCCTCCTTCATCCTTCCTCCTCCTCTCCTTCCTCCTCCTCCTGTTCCTCATCCTCCTCCTTCTTTCCATCCTTTCTTCCTTGGCGGGCCGATCCGAAAATCCTCCCTGTCCCCCGCCAGGCGTGTCGTTTGGCCAGGCGGGGCGTTCCGCCTGAGACCTTCTCGCCATGTGTCATCCTAGACGATGAAGTTCGCAACGGTGTCAATGATGGACCACTGGGCCTTTTCAACATGAACATGTCGCCTTAGAGCAGCGATCATTCGTCTTACAGAATTGCAGTAGCCTGCCGGATAGAGGCTGGTTCCTGTTCAAAATGCGACACTCGCCCTGGCGCCGCGCCCATTCGTCTAGCAATTCGCAACCATCTGAAAAAACCCCAAGGTTAAAATCCCAGGAACGGAGTTCCGGCACGATGTAGGATTGTCGCGACGCAACGGTCACGTTGATTTGCGGTGTTGACGTCCCAGGAATTGTGGTTTGGCCGGGTTGAGGACTCTCGCGATGCTGTCTTTCAATAAGACTCCTCGCACAGCGAAAACAACTAACTGTAGGGATTTGCGTGAAGGGAACTTGGAGGGAGGGTTTCTTGCAACATTCCCTAACCAGTACTTGCACTTAGGGGTTCGTATTCTCGCCACCGCTTGGACGTTCGGTTTCGTGCGTGTATTTTTTCGCAGCGTGCTCCTCGATGGCCCTTGCCGATAAAAAATGCACACGTCCGAGCGATGCCAAGTACTTCTGCTCGAAAGAACTGGTCCGTGTCGGCGGTCTGGCGGCTCCGTTCCACGCCGCCCTGTCGCCGCCTCGTCGCCACCCGTCGCCTGGGCCGTGCGGGCGGGCTGACGGCTCCGCGTCGGCCGTCGCCGCCCCGTCGCCGCCTCGTCGCCGCCGCTGGATGGCACCACATGTATGTCACGAAAAAGCATCACGCCTGCGGCGGGCTTCTTGATCGTCCCAAAGCATAAAAAGTGCGCCACGTATATTGCACAACATGGATAGCACAACATAGAGTGCACAACATACATTGCGAAACCTGATATATTGCTCCATGTAGATTGCACAACATAGAAAATACTTTGTACCGCCTGGAGTGCAAACCATCCATATCACAATCACATAGATTGTCCCACATGTACTGCACAACAGTGATGTTCCACCCCATAGGTTGCACCACATAGATTGCCTGAATTGTGTTTCGCGCCTGCGGCGCGCTCTTTGATCGCTCACGACGCACATTGCACCACGTAGACTGCACAACTTCGATTGGACAACATACAATGCACAACATAGATTGCACAACCGCATCTAGTGCACCATAACAATTGCACACTACACACTGCACCATACAACGTGCACACACATTGCACAACATAGATTGCCCAACATAGATCGCACCATGTAGATTGCACTGCCAATCTTGACCACACATATTGCACCACGCATAGTACACTTCATATATTGCCCAACATGGATTGCAACACATAGGTCGCACGATTGCTGGTTCGAACCTGCGGCTTGATTTTTGACCTGACCGCTCACACCATAGATTGCAGTACATAAGTTGCACGGCATGGAAAACACCAAATATATTGTACGCGCACAGATTGGACCACGTCGATGGCTAGAAACATACTGTTTGGGGCCCGTGCTGGCTAACGTCGTTGATGTGCCTTGTGTTTGCACTGGTCCTCCTCCTCCTCCGCCTCCTGCTCCTCCTCCCCCCCTCGCCACCCGCTCCTGGCATTGCCTCCCCCTCCGCGCCCAGCCAATCTGGCCGGTTGGGCTGAGCAACGAATGCGCGGCCGGCCTGAAGGAGGCCCAGCCGCCGGTGAGCACTGACCCGCACCAAGATTCGGGAGACCCGTGCGCCCATGTCCGTGTGGCGGCCGAGGGAGCTCCGCAGCGTGCACCATTACCATCACCGCTGCCCCCTGACGCAGCCCTTCGCGCATCTGTGGCAGCTCCTCGTGGTTGCCCTCCTCCTCCGCCTCCTCCTCGCACTTCTCCTCTTCCGATCCCCTCCTTCTTCCACACCTGCCCCATCCTCAGCTTTGCCTTGCTCCTCCTACTCCGCACCTTCCTCCTTCTATGAATTGTTCCTCGCCCCTCCTTCTTGATCTTCCTCCTCGTCCTCGCTCCTCCTCGATTCCTCCTCGTCTCCCCTCATCTCCACAATCCTAACGTAGCTCTTCAGGCACCCGTTGTCGCAGTACTCCATGCAGACGACTGTCTTGGTGGCGGCCTCGTGGATCGCGAATGCGCGAACGATGGAGTGGTGCGACAACGCTGACATGATCTCGTACTCGCGCCTGATCCCGTGATTGGCTTGGCCCCCACAGGGCTACGGGGGCTTGGGAAGAGCCGAACAGACTCTCCTGAGGCGTAGGAGAGGAATGGCGAGAGAGAGAAAAGCGGGAGGGTAGTTTGGGGGGGACGGAAGAAAATGACGACGACGAGGGAGAGGATGGCAGCAGGAGGCTGGTGTCAGGACTCTGGCAGGTATGCCTGGCCGTTCCCAGTCCTCCCTGGCCCTCAGCGTTGCCGGCCCCGCCCAAAGGGCCTGGTCAGCTCCTTGGCCTCCTCCATGTTGGCGGGGCAGGACACCTGGGGAAGACAAGGCCAGAGCCGTCGAAACCCGAGAAGGGGCGGTCGAGCGAGAGGGTCAACAAGGCTTCCCCGAGAGGGACTGCCTGCGCGGCACGGGGCCCGCGAGGCCCGAGGGCAACGACGAAGGAGGCGGGGGAGCAGAGGACGGGGATGAGGGGCGACGGGAGGCGGCGGTCGGGGAGGAGGCGGATGAGGATGAGGATGAGGATGAGGATGAGGACCAGTGTAGACCCAAGAGTCATCAACGTTGGAACAAAACCTCCCTCCAAATTTTCTTTTAAGAGGCCACTACAACAAGTCATTTCCACTGAGGGAACTGCCTCGTTGGAAGACAACCGTTTGAAGACCCTGAAACATGCCAAAACATAGTTCTCGTGATTACAACGCCACGGATAAACCTGAATGTTGCGTCTTGACGATCGTGAATCGCCAGAAGGCCATTCCGGGGACTTCAACACCGCGAACCTATGAAACTGTTCCACCCTCGTCATCGTGAATCCGTCCTAAACACCATTTCTGGTACACTGATCGTCCGTGAAACGTTTGCAAATGTTGAAAATACCGCGCGCGGCGCTAAAGCGAGAACGTCATTTGAAAAGGAGCCGCCCTCAATCCGTGAAACCATGTTGCAAACGCTTAAAAAGAATGTGCGCGGCGCTAAAGCGAGAACCACATTTTGAAAACGGGTCGCCCTCAATCCGTGGAACTCTTGCACACGTTTAAATATTAGGTGCATGGCGCTAAGGCGAGAAGCGCATTTTGAAAACGGGTCGTCCTCAATCCGTGGAACTCACTCTTGCATATGTGAAAGACGAGTGCGCGCGGCGCAAAGGCGAGAGGCACATTTAGATAACGGGTCGCCCTCCATCTGTGAAACTGTTGCCATTCATTTCGAAATGCGAGAGAAACATATTGTAAAAAACACCCACCCTCCATCTGTGAAGCTGCTGCCATTGTTTGATCTTCAGTGTCAGAAAGTGTGAGGACGTCTCAAGCGAAACGCCTGGACAGCCCTGTAAACTAGCGTCGGGGTGCGACAGGGAGAATCACGTATAAGGAAAACGTAGTAATGATGATGCTGATGATGATGATGCTGATGATGGTGATGAGGATGACGATACTGATGATGGTGATGCAGATTATGCTGATCATGCTGGTGCTGATGCTGCTGATGCTGAAGAATATGATGATGAACATGATGGCAATGATGATGATGACAATGATAATGATAATTATGATCATGATGCTTGCGTTGCGTTGCGTTGCGTAGGCGTCATGCAGGGGCGCCTCCTGGGCCCGACGCCGCTCACAGAAGTTAAAAGGGTAGCAGCGTCGAGAATTGTCTTAATGATCTCCTCCATTCAAGCCACGGCTTCTGCCCCTCTCTCCAAGACAGCCCAGAGACAGGCTTCAGGAGCCAGTGGTCCCCATAAAACTTATAGAAATCTCGCTCCCAACGCCAGATCCCGACTGTTCGGTGATGCAACTGGGAGCCTTGCCACCTAGCTATCTCGGTCACCCAAGCACGATCGTGATAACGAAGGACGCGGTGCGCGATCCTCTCTGGACAGGCCCTACCCAAGGACTGCGAGAAACCTCCCCAATTGTGCTGCATCCTTCTGCAGGTCTGGGGCCACGATTCAACATTGTATCTAGCTCTGACATCAGCAACGCAATGCATGGCAGACTCCATATATTCAGCTGCGGATTCTCCGCGCGGCGGGCGGATCATGCGCCTAAGCATGGTATTGTGACATTTAGAGACCCTACTCGTGGCAGAAACGGTGATATGTAAACTCCCTATACAATATGTCAGGGCTGGGCGAACACATCGATCCAGGGCCTTCAACCTTCTATGAAGGCCAATCTTCCGATTGGTCAAAATCGCTCGATGAACGGCCCAGGTGCGCCACGCGCGTTGAATTCTGTTACAGACCTCGTGTGTGCAACTACGATCGAAAGCGACAAAAGTCCCGAGCACTTTCAAGCCTTCAGCTCGGGCTTGACAGGGAACGCACATGCCGCGGACGCGAAGCGTGCCGATATGTGACGGGCACGCGTGGCACCACTCCATTTCCTGCACGGGAACCACTAAACCACTACGCTCAAGGATCCGAAGCCAAGCTTCCGTCATCATCGCGGCCATCGAGACCGATCTCGCTAAAATCCAAAAATTGCCGGCGAAGCTCAAAACTCCTAAAACCTCATCCTCCTCTCCAGGTGGTCAAACAAATACCCCTGCCATTTTTACGGCAGAGGTCGTGAAAAGCGAAAAGACACTGATCGAGGAAAACATTGCTAAGCTCGGGCGCCGCAGGATCCCCTTGGATGAGAGACATCTCACGCCGAATCGGGTCCGTGAGGGCGTTCCCAGGAAGACGGGCCTTGGGGCGGCGAGCTTCACGAATCCAGAACGAGATAGTAACGCGGGAAACTCCGCGGCTATCGAGGCGACGAGCCAGGGCGGCGTGCTGAATAAAATCATAAAACTTTCTAATGTCTCCGCCCACAACGACGAGCGGGGGGTCCTCATACTCAAAACTTCTCAACTCAGTGGCGCAAGCTATATATGACTTCGTGGGCCTGGTGCCCTCTGCGAAAAGCGAACTGACTCTCACTACGACACGATTCGATCACTCCTCGTTGCGTCTCCATCACCATCATGCTCGATATCTTCTGCAACACCGAGATCAGGGCTATCGGGCGAAACTAACTAACATTGCGGGCATCTGGCACTTTTCGGATGAGCTGCACCACGTGATCGCTCCAGGCCGTGTCGAAATATTCCGAAATGTGGTTCCTGAGCCGAAGTCTGAAGGCCTGCTGCAGGTGCTCCAGGACATCCGTCTCCAACCCCTGAAGCACTTCGCCCACAATCATGTCGGTCTCGTCGCAGGACTTGCAGCTCTTCAGGCGACCGATGCACATTCGGAGGAGCGGGGGGCTCAAGGGTACGGACTGTTGCTGCTCCTCGGCTGACCACTGCTGGTGGATCCAGTCTGGCAACTGTCCGTCACTGGTCGCGTCCTGGAACAACTGAGAGTAGAAAGCATGGGCCTCCTGCAGTCGCTCGGCGCTGGTGGTCGCCTGGCCGCCATCTATCTTGTCCAAGCAATAGACTGGGCGCCCCGTCTTGTAGGCCTTCTCGGCGCGACCACGCTCGCACAGACGGGACAGGTGCTCAGTGTAGCAGCGATCTCTCATGGCCCGCTTCAGCTTACAGACCGCGGGCCCCATGAGATGTCTGACTCGCGGGCCCCCCTCCGCAGCCCGCGCGCGCCCCAAAGCCTGCAACTGGAGCAGCTGAGCGTCGCCTGGCGGGGGCCGCCACCGGCCTCGGCGCGGAACGTGGCCAGCCTTCGCGGCGGCCGCGCAGATGGAAGAGGACAGGAGGCGCAGCGAGGCGATGCCCTGGCGCGTGCTGGAGGCTGTCGCCGTAGGCGCTGCCAAATGAAGACCCAGAGCGGCGCCCGCGTCCTCGCTGAGGATGTCGGCCTGGCGCCGCTTCCGCGCCGCTCGGCAGGCTGCCTGGTGGGCAGCACAGGTGGCCTGGAAGGCGGCGGCGCCCCAGTCAGGCACAGGGCATGGCCGTCTCCAGTGGCTGTCGATGTGGCGCTGGTCACTGCCCAACTTGGCGAGATAGTCAGCCTGCTCGTTGCCCGTGTTCCCGTTGTGGCTCTTTACCCATCGGATGATCATGCCAAAAGCGGTCTGACAACGCTGCCACAGGTGGGTGGCTAAGGTCGCGAGCTCGAAGTTCTCCTTCGGCTGGAAGACACCCTGCAGCAAGTTGCGAACGTACGTGGAGTCGGCGCTGACGATGATGCGGGTGGCGCCCCGCACGAGTGGCTGAGCAAGTAGACGCTGTCCGAGTAGCCAGAGAAGCGCCTCTACGATGGCAGTCAACTCGCCCGTATTCGCCGATAAGCATGTCGCGCCCGCATACCGAGGGCCCTGCACATCAGTGATGACCTGGCCACAGGCCTCCAAAAGACTGGTGTCCTGGTCGTTCGGCTCGGCTACGTGATAGGAGTGCGAATCCCCGGCCAGCCGCATGGCACCGATGACGCCGATGTCGGTCTCGTCCTCGCCGAGCAGAGCCACCCGTGAAGATCCCCATAGCATTAGTCATGTCCCCCTCAGTGTACGTCGCGGTCTCTGGAGGAGTGTAGCTGATCTGCAGGGGCGTGCAGATGGTGGAGTTGAACAGCTCGGCATCTTCGACCTGCCAGCCCACGGGTTTCCGTGGTGGGCGTTCGATGGTCTCCAGCGGCATCGGCTCGGCGTGGCCAGCGATCGTGGGGGCGCCTTGGCCAGCGCGGCAGCGCAGGAGGAGCGGCAAGTGGTCGCTCGAGGAGGCGTCGGCGCAAGGGGCCTGGCACAGCGTCCGCGATAACCAGTCGCGGTGGATCAACATGAAGTCGATCTGCCTGGGCTCCTTGCGATTGTCAAAGAAGCAAGTGGCCTGGCCCCGCTGTCCACGGGAATAGGTGTTAGCAGCAATAAAATCGAACTCAGTCATTAAGTCGTGAAGCATCTCGCCTCGCCAGGTCATCTCGGAAGTAGAGAAAGGGCCCACAGTGTCTCCGTCAGGTACCCCTAGGCCGTCCTGGGCATCGATGCTGACAATGGCGTGGCAATCAATCGGCATGGTGATCAAGCATTCTCGTAACTGCTGAACGGTCTCTGCATACTCACATCGAACGATATGCGAAAACAGGTGGATGGTGATAGCCCGCACTCGGCCCCAGATATGCAGCTGTAAGTCTAGGGCCATGGTGCGCCCGTGGAACTGCGGCTCGCCAATGACGGAGAGCGCCAACGAGTTGGCCACCGCTATCGCACACCTCTGCCAAGCCCCTACGGAGGCGACACGTGCACAACATAGCCGTCATAGGTCTGCTGAGCTCCACCTGCAACACACCATTCTTGAAACAATGATCAAACTCGCATCGAATTCATCGGTCAGCGAATCGAGCACGGCACGGCGCCGCTTCGCAAGGACACCTCTCGCATTCCACACAAGAACTGTGAGGTCCCTGATGTCCTTAACGTAGCGCCTGCCCCGTACGCGATATCACTGGAGCCGAGGGAGACCGTTGATCTCGCTCAGGCGCTCGTGCAGCTTCAGATCCTTGAGCTCCTGGTCCAAGGCGGCCGCTGCCAGGGAGTCGGCGCTGACCTCCAGCAGGTCTGACGTCCTCGAGCGATGCAACAGACGAACTGGCCGCTCCGTGCTGTTCTTGCGAAACACCACCTGTCCGCGATCCCAGTCGCCATCGAAGGTGCGCTGCTTCGACTCCTCCGTGCACAGACCCTTCTGGATGCCGAACTCGCGCAAGATCCGCACCGCACAGCTGACCCGACGGGAGAGCTCCACCTCATGTGGGTCCTGGTCGACCTTGTGCCACAGCCTGTCGTTGCGAGCTCCTGGGCAGGGGATCTTCTGGCCCTTCCAGCGCTTCATGAAACCCCGCATCTTCTGATTGTTTGCGAAGACCACTTTGGCCTGATCGCAAAACCGCCCAACTCCGTAGATCTCGGTGATCCCCTGCGCCTCCAGGGAAACCGTCTTGGCGAGCTCCGTGCGCAAACGCTTCTCCACCTCATCCTTGTCCCATGTGCCAGGGAAGCCCGCAACGAACACCACGTGCTTGCACTTATTCCCTCCTCGCGGCCGCGCCGTCGGCGGAGGCATCCCGCCCGCGCGCTGCTGCTCCAGGTAGGCACCCCACGGATCAGGCTGGCCGCTCGCATGGGAGGCTGACCCCAAGCCCGCTCTCGGTCCGACCGAGCTCACGGCCGAGGATCGGCCCGCCTCGAGAGCCTCCAACCTGGCCTCCTGCGCCCTCAGCCTGGCCTGCACCGCGGAGATGTCCCGACTGCTGGCCTCCGAGGTACGCTGCAGTGCGTCGACGCGGGTCTGCAATCCATCCAGCTTTACCCCCATCGACTGGTTGAGGGCCCCGATGATGTACTGCGCCAGTCCCAGCTGCGCCGGGTCGGTCGGGGGGCTCGGGGCGACCTGCGGCACGGTTGCCTGAACAGACGGGGCACGATGAGCCTCGACGGGACCGATGTCGTCGTCTGTGTCACGATCCTCCATCGCGACGCCACCCACGCTCAGCTCAGTCTTGCGTCGCTGGTCCCGCTCCCAGACCTGACCAGGTGCGTCGGCGGCCGCGCCAGCAAGCAGAGCAGGTGGAGGGGCGTTCGCGAAAGCCATCCCAGACCGCAGCAAAATGCGCGCGAGGAAAGCTCAAACTCGAGAAGACAAGAAACTCCAGCCTCGAATCCAGGCTGGGCCGCCTGGACGGGCGTGCGATCTCCAGTGCTGCCTGGGTGCTGTCTTGAGCCAAAATCATGATGCTGATGATGATGACGATGATGGTGATGATGATGACGGTAACGATGCTGATGTTGATGGTGGTGCTGTTGCTGCTGAATATGATGATGATGCTGATGATGCTGATGATGATGCTAATGGTGGTGGTGGTGATGCTGCTGCTGATGCTGCTGCTGATGTTGATGATGACGATGCTGATGATGCTGATGCTGATGAGGGTTGTTTGTTGATGGGAGTATCGCGGTCGAACGAGTAACCAGGAGAAGCAGGCGCCCCCACGATCTCGCAACCGAATGCCGCCACACGGGCCGACCCCGTGCCAGACTCAACACGGCCAAGCTCCTTGGCCCTCAAAGGGCCGGTTTGTGTGTAGGGGGGATTCAGACGGGATTGGACTGGGAGGAGGAGAAGCAGGAGGAGGAGCAGGAAAAGGAGGAGGATGTGAGAGGAGGACGACGAGGCCGAGGGGGGACGAGGCAGATGAGCGGGGGGGGTGGGAGGAGGCGGTGGATATGATACGAGGAGATAAGATAGGATCAGATACGATACACTGAGCCCGTACAAGAAAGACGCACGACAAGGATACAAGGGCCTTGAAAGGCCATGTCGACACTTTGCCAGCGGGGCGCCGCCAGCGAAGGCGGCCAAGGGTGGTCCGAAGTGGAAGGATGTAAGGGGAACCTTGGAATACTGCTCATCCTTACTATGTGGATTGGCTGTAAGATAAAATTCGCCGGCCCAACGGGCCAGAGGCGTGCTAAGATCTCCGGTAACTGGTTAACAATTCTCTAGTTCGCGCGCGCGGGGCGGCCCCTGGGGGTCCCCGGACAAAAAGTACCCCGGGCGATCCCCGACCGACCCCCGGGAGACTCCCCCAGAGCGCTCCAGGAGCGCTCCATGAGCGCACCAACAGGGCTCCGAGACGTCCCCGAGAGCCCCAAGAAAGGCCAAGAGGCCCCCAAGAGGCCCCCAAGATGGTACACGAGGGGTCCGACATGCCACAAGATCGCTCCAAGACGCCCAAGATAGCCCCCAGACGCCCCAAGAGGCCTCCAAGAGCACTCCCAAGAGGGCCCCCGGAGGCAAAATTCATTGTTTTTCCTTAGGTTTTTGAAAGATTTTGGAGCTTCCACCTTTTCGGCTTCCCGACGCCCCAAGACGGCCCAAGAGGCCCCCAAGATCGCCCCAAGAGGGCCCAAGAGGCCCCCAAGAGGGCCCCAAGATGGCCCAAGAGGGCTCGAAGACGGCCCAAGAAGCCTCCAAGACGGTCCAAGAGGGCCCCAAGAACGCCCCCAAAGGGGCCCCAGAGAGGGAACACGAAACAACATTTCGAGCCCTCGGCCCTAAGAAGCCCCTACGAGGCCCCAAGAGGCCCCTAAGAGGCCCCAAGAGGCCCCCACGAGGCCCTCAGGAGGCCCCCAAGAGTCCCCCAAGCGGCCCCAGGAGGCCCCCCAAATGCCCCCCCGAGCGCCCCAGGAGTCCCCCAAGCGGCCCCAGGAACCCCCAAAGCGCCGCATTGACACCAGGCCCTCGGGCAAACGGCAGACATGAGACTGTATGGGCCGGCGGAATGAGCGAAGCGATTAAATAAGAGAAGGTACAATACATCATATAAGTTTGTATAATGTAAAATGGTATAGAATAATAGAATATACGATTATACAAGATTAAGACAGCGCCTCGGAGATGTCAGAAGGCGAGCTCCCAAAACACTGGGCAAGGGTATCAAGATTATGCCATCGAAGCGGTGGCCCGCGGCGACTTGACGCTACAGCCCACCAGCGTGCCAGAGCCTGCGCAACCCCAGAAAAAGGGAGACGACGACCGAGGAAGGCGAGGAGCCTCCTTCAGGGCCACGGGCAGGCCGTCGGACCGGCGCCACGCCAGCCGCACCGTCCTGCGGGGGCTCGGGGTTGCGCCGAGGGAATCGACGGAGCTGTCGTCGTCGTCGTCGGCGTCGTCAGCGTTGGCGGCGGCGGCGGCGGCTGTCGTCGTCGTTGACGCCGCACGCCGTCGTCGGCGTCATCGCAGTGGACGCCGCACATCGTAGTCGTCGTCGTGGACGCCGCATGTCGTTGTCGTCGTCGTCGACGTCGTCGTCATCGTCGTCGTCGTCGATGTCGTGTTCGTCATCGTTGTGGTGGAAGCCACGCGTCGTCGTGTTAGTCGTCGTGGTGATCGTCGTCGTCGTCGTCGTCGACGTCGTCGTCCTGGACAACGCACGTCGTCGTTGTGGGCGACGCACGTCGTCGTCGTGTTTGTCGTCGCTGTGGGCGCCGCACATCGTCGTCGTTGTCGTGGGCGCCGCACGTCGTGGTCGAGGACGCCGCACGTCGTCGTGGACGACGCACGTCGTCGTCGTCGTCGTCGTCGTGGACGGCGCACGTCGTCGTGGACGCCGCGCGTCGTGGTCGTCGCGGACGCCGCACGTCGTCTTCTCCTTCGTCGTCGTCATGTTCGTCGGGGTCGTCGTGTTGCTTGTCATCGTCGTCGTCGTGATCGTCGCCGTGGACGCCGCACGTCGCCGTCGTCGTCGTCGTCGTCGTCATGTTCGTCGTCATCGTCGTCGTCGTGGGCGCCGCATGTCGTCGCCGTTGTGGACGACGGGGTGCGCCGCCTTTTCAAGGCGACGCGTGGGTGCACCACCGCTTCAAGGCGATGCGCAGGACGTAGGCAGCGCGCTTCCAATGCCAATGCCTGGCGGCGCTGAGGCGCCTCGGCCAGCCCCGCCGGCCGCCCTCCTCCTCTCGTCCTTCCCCTCGTCGCCGTCGCCGACGCCGTCGCAGTCACCGTCATCGCCGCCATCGCCGCCGTCCTTGCCCTGGTTGTCGTCGACGTCGTGCCGCCCATCCTCCAAAAGCATTCGAAGGCACCCAGACGTTTCGAGAAGCTCCCCGATTCCTGGGTACCCTGGCGGCGGCGACAGCGGCGGCGGCTGGAATCGAACCGTAGCGCGGGGTCGCGCGCGCGCACGGCTGGAGGCGGGACGGAGGAGGAGACTACGACGGCGACGGCGACGGTGGCGGCGACGGCGACGGCGACCGACGACCGACCGCCGTCCGCCGACCGCCGACCGACGACCAACGACGCCGACGACGACGACCGCGGCGGCGGCGGCGGTCCCCATCGACCCGTAGCGCGGGGGCGCGTCGCTCGGCCGGTAGAGCTCGGAGGAGTCGAAGGCGTCCGGCCCGGCGGCCCGCGAGGCTGGCGCGGAGCGGAGCGCTCCTGGCGGCCGCAGGCCCCGCAGGCGCCGTCGCCTCTGTCGCCGTCGCCGTCGCCGTCCGACGGTCGCCATCGTCGCGCGTCGCACGTCGTCGCCGTCCGTCGACCGTCGGTCGTCGGCCGCCGGTCGCGGCAGGCCTACGCCCGCCGTGCCATGCAGCTCCTGCCCCTTGGACTTCCTGGGAGGAGGAGGTCTCGTGGGCGGCCTCACAACGAGGCAGGCCCGCGCCCGTCGCACGTGGGGCACCCGTGGACTTCGATCGGCGTGCAGGGGACCTGCTGACGCCTGTGCCCACCACCACCCCTGGCCGCCCTCCGCCGCGCTCTGCTGCGGCAGGTGGGGTACCGCGCTGAGACGGCGGGGGTTTGATTGTTGAAGACCGCCGCCGGGTCCCCCGGCTGGCTCAGCGCCCTTGCCCTGACCAAGGGCGGCAGGGAGAGCATCCGCGGCACGGGGCACGGACTCTCCGCTGCGAGGCTTTGTGGCTCTCCAGCCTGGCCGAGCGCCCTTGCCCTCATTCGGGGGCAGCAGGGGGGGGCGCGTGCGCCGCGGGCGTCTCGGTGGCCCGCGGTTCTGCCTGGCGGGGCCGGTGGCTGTTGGCCAGGAGCAGGCTCCCCAGGCGTCTGGTCGCACCAGCCACGGTGTCAGAAGAACTGCCCGCACCTTCTCTGTTCATGGTCCGCGCTGGTTCTCCCGCCTCCCTCCTCCCGCCTCCTCCCGCCCCATCCTCCATCCCCCCCTCGCATCTCCCACCTCCTCCTTCGTACTCCTCCCTCATCTACTCCCTGCTCCGCCCCTCCTTCCGTCTCCCAACTACCCTATCCCCCTCCCTCCTCCCGCCTATTCTCCCCTCCTCCCCCAGACCTCCAACGTGTGATTGCTCGCAACGTGGACCCCCATGGGGGTGTCGACCCCTTCCCCAGGATTTTTTTTTCCGGATGATTTACTTTGACGGTCTCGGCGCCAGCCTGGTGAGGGCCCCCAGAATCCGAAAGTGACCAAACACCTCCGTCGTGGCCCTGCCCCGACCTCGAGAACCCCCTGCCCTAGAATAAGAAACAACTGCTTAAACATAAACGTTTGGAGATCCACGCGAGTTTCTTAGATCCGCGCTGGACCCACCTCCCTGGCGCGCGAAACGCCCAGGGGGGCGGAGCCGGAGGCGCCACCGGTGGGCGCAACCGGGGGGCGCAGCGCCAGTCCGAGAAATCCGCGCGGAGCTCAGAAAATTCATGTTTGTGCCGATGTCTGCTCTTCGACACCCCCTGCTCTCCCAGCCTCGTGCGCTGGGCGGATCCGGCGAGGTTGCCGCTTCGTTGCCGCGTCTGGCTTGCACCACCTAGATTGCACCACATAGCTTGCACTGCATAGCTCAAGCATCCACAATACAACACCTTACAGTTACACTCCGGTCGGGAGATGTAAGTAAAAACAGAAAGTAGGAAGGCGGATGAAGTAGATTGGGTCCATAGAGGCCTCCTAGATGGGGTCCGATGAGATGGGGTCGGAGGATCCCGCCGCATCGCCGATACATCGGCCATACATCGACGATGCATCGGCGATGCATTGGCGATGTACCAGCGACGCCGGCGATGCATCGACGACGTCGGCGTGGAGAAAATTGGCCCCCACATCGAGCCGCATCGCCGATGCATCGCCGATGCGGCCCGGTCCGACCCCATCTACTCCGCCCCCATCTGGGAGGCCTAGAGTCCAGGCCCTCTCAGAGAATAACAACACATAGCAAAAGCAGATCGATTATTGAAGTAGGAAGGCGCTAGAAGTAGATTAGGACCTGGGAATCCGAAAGTACCTACTTTCAACCACCGGCGTGCTGGGGTCCACGCTGGCACTTGTGGTTGGCGTTGCAACGACAGAGTGCGACCCCGATCCCCGAGGAGCACGCCATCTCTGCGAGGCGATCCCCCCGCGAGGGCCGCTCCTGTGCACGCCGTCCCCCTGCCAGGGCACCTTCGGTGCACGCTGTCCCCCCGGGGTCCCGGGGGACGCCGTGCAGTGGTTGGGCCGGTAGCGCCACACCGCACGCTACCTTCGCGTCACCCCAAGCTAGCCGTATGCTTGCGCGGTGCTCCCGGACGTCCGGCTGCTCCACAATCTGTTCGGTGCGTGGGCCCCGGGGGTCTGGAACAATTCCCCAGGGACGGCTTGTCGTCCCGAGTCATTTGTGCACGGTCCCGAGGCCCGGCGAGGGCCCCTGGAGGCCGAAATCAGCCGTAAACCGCCCGCCCTCAATTTTTGTTGGAGCGTCGGATCTCTGGGTGTTGCTCTTCGACCCTCCCCTGCCCTCCCCCCCTCGCGTCGGATCGGGCCTAGCTGGAGCACTGGCACGCCGATGTCGCGGCGGCTGCGCAGGCCGCCCCGGCCGACGGGGAGCAGGCCGCCTGTGAGGGAGGGAGGGAGGGAGGAGGGGCGAGGAGGACGGACGGACGGAGAAGGGAGGGCGGGGGAGGGTGAGGGGGGAGGGAGGAGGGGGGAGGGCGGAGGAAGGAGGAGAGAGAAGGGTCGGAGAGCGGGGAGGGGCAGGAGGGAAGAGGGAGGGCGGAGGATGGGGGAAGGGGGGGGGGGGGAGCGAGGATGGAGGAAGATAGAGGTGGATGGCGGCCACTGTGTGCGAGGAGTGGGCGATGCAGGAACAACGGCCGGAGGAGGAGGGCTCAGTGAGCACGGAAGGCGGAGCAGCAGTAAAGGGGGGGAGGGAGGAAGGAGGACGCAGAAGGGAAGAGGGACGACGGAGGAGGGGGGTGAGGGAGGAGGAGAGGCGGGGGAGGAGGACGACAACGACGAAGCAGAGCGGGGGAGAGGAACGGTGAGGGATGAGGGCGAGGAGGACGACGAAGGAAGCGGGAGGAGGGTGTGTATGTGAGTGTGTGAGCACAGGGAGAGGGCGGAGGACACGTGTGAGCAGGGAGGAGAGGGAGGAGGGTGGCGGAGGAGGGAATGTGAGGCGGGACAGAGAGAGAGGAAAGTGAGCGCGGACCCGGCCGCGGCCACAAGGCCGCCGCGAGAGGCCCAGAAGGGCCACTCGAACACACCCAGAGAACACACAAACCCTGGCGACCCTCGACGACAACGACCACGACGAGGACACGAAGAGGCCTACGACGACTACACAAAGAGGCAGGCGACGACGACGACGCGAAGAGACCGACGCCGACGACGACGACGACGAGGCCGACGACGACACGAAGATGCCGACGACACGAAGAGGACAAAAGACGACGACACGAAGAGGCCGACGACGACACGAAGAGGACGACGACAGGAGGAGGCCAAGGGACGGCACGAAGAGGCCGAAGGATGGCACGAAGAGGCCGAAGGACGGCGCACCCTCGACCCTCGACGACGGCCGCGGCGGCGGCCACGGCGGGGCCAGGAGGCCTTTCATCTGCGAGGCGCACGGCACCGCGGGCGCGGTATTCCTTCGCCCGGCTCCCAGCGCCGCGCCTCGCGGGGCGGGAGGGGTGCAGAGAGGAGGAGCGCAGAGGAAAAAAACCGAGGAGGATGAGGATGAGGATGAGGATGAGGATGAGGATGAGGAAGAAAAGGAGGAGGAGGAGGAGGACAAGGGTATATGCGGAGAAGACCAGAGAGAGGTTCGGGGATGGTTGGCGCATTCTTGCCTCCACCACACCACCGCGGCGGGGCGGCGGCGGCAACCATTGGACGCTTCTGCGTCCAAGAGCATGCGCAGCAGCAGGATGGAATCGATCATGGCCCCCATACAGTAGGAACTCGACCACAAGAAACCTTCCACAAGAAACCACAACCTGTAACCCCAGGACGTCCACTGAGGTTTGGTGTGGGGACGTGACGCTCTCCACAGCAAAACCCTCGAAACCCAAGAAACCCAGGACACCCTGGAGGCAAGGAGGGTGTTTCTTGGTATGGGTGTCCACTGTGACATTTCCAACCAGGCCTCTGGAACCACCACCTGGAGAAAACGAAGACTGGAACATGCTTCGAACAACGGCTGCAGTTTTCTCGGACGCGCCAAGTGTGCGAGTTTCCAATGCAGTCCCCGTCTGGGGGAGCATGAGTGGAGGGAACCCACCGACGGCTGGTCAGGGCCTTTTTTCCCAATGCCCCCCTCCAGGCCCACCCAGCCAGTCAGCGTAGGGAAGGGGGCCGCCAGTTTCGAGCTTCCCTTGGAGGAAAAATCACCTTGTAGTGGTAACGTGCAGGAAATTTTAAGCTGATTGAAATAATCGTAATTCGCTGGCGTGGACTTCAAGCAAAGCGACTGCAGCTTCTATGCGCACTCCATAAATTCCAAGCTATGCGACGCGTTGTGTGTGAGTGGTGAATCAGCTACACGTGTATATATATATATGTATATATACATACATGCGTACATATATACGTACGTATGTACATACATGTATGCATTAATATATACACAAACGCACACACCTTTTCTTATATGTTTACAAGCCGAAGGGGAGAACACACACACACATACACACACACGCACGCACGCACGCACGCACGCACGCACGCACGCACGCACACACACACACACACCAAACCCGCACCCCCAGGATCCAGGGTCTCCAGGCCCCCCAGCACCCTTGCCAAAAACTCGTCCCAGACCTCCCATGGCGTTTGGCCAGGTCTTGCCGGCAGACCCAGGCGATCAGAGCGGTGATCAGAGAGGCCGACCCAAGACAGCACAAGAGCGCGCCGAAAAGGACCCTGATGGTCTCCGGAGGCCTCCAAAACGGCCCAAGAGGCCCTAACATGACTCACAGAACGCAAAAATCGTTTCATTCTTTCAGGGGAATGCGCATTTGCAGCATGTTCGTTGTTCGGGTTTGAATAACGTCCACAACAACCAAAAACGCTTCCCCAAGACGGCCCAAGAGACCCCCAAGAGGGCCTCTAGACGGCCTGGGTGGCCCCAAGACTGCCCAAGGAAACTCCACATGGGCCAAAAAGACGCCCAACAGGACCTCACAAGGCCCCCGAAAGAAAACCAAAAAGGCCATGGGAGACAGGCCATGGGAGGCCACCAGACGGCCCCCCCCAAGAGGCCCAAAAGATGCCCCAACAGGCCCCAAACGGTTTCCGAGAGACAACAGGCTTCACCTGTGGACTTCGTTTCTTCTCTGGGGGTCGGCGGAATGGCGTAAGCCACTCGACCATACATACATGCGTATATATACACTAGAACCATCGCGCGCTTCGCGCGCGCGCTTATGTTCTAGCTGGTCGAGTGATGACCGCATTGAGACAACAAACCGATCATGAATAATGAAATCAACATTTTCTGGTTCCTCCTGCCCCTTCCTCATTCCTCCGCATCCGCTCTCATCGGCCGGTCGACTGGTGATCTGTCGCCAAGCTATGGGCCAGGAAACATGCAGCGCTACAGCACCATGTTGCACTATGCTATGGAATGCCCTAATACACCATGCTGCGCTATAAAGCGTAATTTCACTATGCAGTATGCAATGCAATAACATGATCGACTCTACAGTGCGCATTGCATGCCATGCCATGCTGTGCTGTGAAATGCTATGATAATATATGCGACGATACGCTGAGCCATACCATGATATGTTCCCGCTGAAGAGCGATGCTATCGCGTTAGATTGTATGTACAGGCACGACATACCGTGCTATACAATGAAATTAAATGCAATGCTATGCCATGTTATGAGCTGCTAGGTAAAAAAAACAAACAGGACGACAGTAAGAGCAACAACGGGGGTGTGATATTTGCATGATTTCTGTTTACTGTTGCGCAGAGCAGTACTGTGCTGTTCGATGAATTGATGTGCATTGGAATCCCATAGTACGCCACTATGTGCCATGAGATGCAATGCCATGCTAGGCAATGTCACGTCGTGACGTGCAGAACTAGGCTCAACTAAACACTGCTATGGAATGCAATGTTATGGCTGAACCATACTGTGATATGCACTGCCACGGTTAGCTCTGTCATTCTGTGCCGTGCCATGTCATGTCATGCAACGCTGCGATGCCACGATAGGCTAGGCGGTTCTTTGCGATGCACCGGTATGTTTTGGAGGCCGCTTGGGGGCCGTTTGGGGCGCTCTTGGGGCGTCTTTTCGGGCCTCTTTGGGGCCTTGTGGGGCCTCTAGGGGGCCTCTGGGGGGGCTCTGTTAGGAGCCTCCTGCAGGCTTCTTGGAGCGGACGGCTCGAATCGTCGGTTCGTGTTCCCCGTCTTGGGGCCGTCTTGGGGCCCCTCTTGGGCGATCTTGGGCGCCTCGTGGGCCGTCTTGGGGCTCTCTTGCGCCGTTGTGGCGCCCCCTCTGGGTGCCTTTTGGGCCGTGTTGACTTGATTTCTGGGGCCTCGTAGGCTGTCTTGGACCGTTGGAAGCACGAAACAGCGAGAACACGAAAAACCTTCAAAAACCTTCGAAATAACAAACTTGTTCCGCCTCCTGAGTGCCTCGTGGGAGTCCTTTTGAGAGCATCTTGGCCGTCTTAAAGCCATCTTGGGCTGTCTTCAAGCCATGTTGGATTAATGTTGCAACGCCCCTGCGCGGTCTTGTGCTCTCTTGGAGCGCTCTTGGGCCATCTTGGCGCCCTATTGGACGTCTCTCGGCCCCCTTTGACGTTTTTTGGCGCCGCCCGCTGGGCCCGAAACGGCCGAAGATAAATCAGTGCACTTCGGGGGGGCCGGGACCCCCTACCCACTTATGTATATTTGTGTGTGCTTTTTATATATATATATATATGTATAAAAGTGTGGACCGTAAACTAAATCTACGGAGCTGCGTGAGTCGAGGCAAGCCGACGCGCGCTTCTGTCTCCGGCGCGCATATGTAGCAAGCTGCGGTGTGCGATCGACGACCAACGTGGAATCAGTGATTTTCGCCTCTTCAAACCCTCTTGGGGGTTCATCCTGGGGCTCTTTTGGGGTGCGTGAGGCCCTCTGGGGCCGTCTTGACAGTAACCGCCATATAGATTATCCAGGGCCGTCTTGGAGGTCCTCGTGGGCAGGCTCGGGGCCCTTTTGGCCTGTCTTGGCGCCTCTTGGGAGCTTGTTGGGCCGTCTTGGGGGCCTCATGGGGGTCTATTGGGCCGTCTTGGGGGCCTCTTGGGCCCCCCTTGGGCCCCTCCAGGGCTGTCTTGGGGCTTTCTTAGGCTCCTCTTGGGCCGTCTCGGGGCGATCTTGGAGGCCTCTTGGGCCGTCTTGGGGGTCGAGACGGTCGAGAAGGCGAGAATCACAGAATCCGGAAGAAACAAACGGACAATCTAAGATTTCGGCCTCTTGGGGCCCTCCAGGGTGTCCCCTCGGAGCCGTCCTGGGGCGTCTTGGTGGCCTATGGGGCCGTCTTGGGAGCATCTCAGGCCGTCAGAGGACGGTCTTGGGCCATCTCGTGGCTGTCTCTGGTCGCCTCGGAGCCTCCTTGGGCCGTCTCGGGGCTCTTCTGGGGAACTCCAATGCCGTTTCGGGGCCCTCTGGGCGCCCTCTGGTGCCGTTTCGGGCTGTCCGGGGGGCTCGGGGAGCCGGGGGCACACGCGAACCTGCAAAGCTCCTTACGGATTTATTTGAGTGGATATACAGATATACAAGACTGCATTGGCGCTTCGCGCCGTGCGCCTTGTTCCTGACGCTTCCCCGGTAAAGCAATAGATCATCGCTTGCTTCAGCACCGCTCCTCATGGGAGGAGGTAAGGGAAACGTTTCGTTCCCTACCCATCCCTACCCATCCCTTGCTTCAGCATCGCTCCCCAAGGTTTATCCCTACCCATCCCTTCCTCCTCATTTCCTCCTCCTCCGGTGGTTGAGTCCATCCTTTGAGGAAGTAAGGATCGTTCCCACGACACGCCGAAGAAGTCGCAGTCGCTCCGAACAATCGATTTTCAGTCGCTTCCTGAATGCCTGGAGGGCTCCAGGCACTCAGGAAATCTTCGATCGTCGAACTTTGAATCTAGATCCATTGCCTGTCTCTCTCGATCGAGCAATTTCAAACCTCGAACCTCAATCGTGGAACTAAGATCGTCGGGTCAGCTCGATGCACTTCGTAGGAGAACGCCGTCTGGGCATGTTTGGGGCTCTTTTGGGCCGTCCTGCAGCCCTCTTGGGCCGTCCTGGGGCCTTCTGGGGCCGTCTTAGGGACTGGAGCCTCCAGAGGTCTTCTGAAGCCATCCAGGGCCCTCTTGGGGGCCTCCTATGGTCTTCTTGGGGGTCTCCCATGGCTTTCGTGAGTCTCTCTTGGGAGTCTTCTGGGGGCATCTTAGGCTTCTTGTGGGCAGTCTCGGGGCTCTCTGGGGCAGTCTTGGGGCCCTCTTGGGCCGTCTTGGGGCGATGTCAGGGGCCCATCGAGCCGTCTTGAACGCTGCGAAGACCCAAAAGCTGAGATGTTTAAATACACATGTTCCTACGGGAATGAGGCGTATTTTGCTTCTGCGGGGTATATATATATGTATAGATGCGTATAGTCACGCATGTATGCACGTACATATACATACATTTGCATACACATGTACACACAACTATGTATACAGATATGAACGTGTAAATGTATGTATGTGTGTATGCATGTAGGTAGGTAGGTAGGTAGGTAGGTAGGTAGGTAGGTAGGTAGGTAGGTAGGTAGGTACGTATGTATGTGTGTATGTATGTGTGTGTATGTATGAATGCATGTATGTATGCATGTATGTACGTATGCATGGGTTCATATGCATATACCTATGTATGTGTGTATGTATGTGTAGGTGTATGACTATGTTTGTGCATATGCATACGTACGTGTATGCGTATATGTATGTGGGCCTGTATGTTTAGACATACATAAATGTATACACCTCTCTCTCTATATATATATATATATAAGTGTGTGTGTATATGTAGCCACTACCGTGCCTCTGGGACGGAGTGGGCGTGCCCTCAGGTCCTTTGCCTAACACCTGGGGCCTCAGTCCTCACTCCTCAGGAGTTCCGAAATCTACCAGGACTCGCCGCGTGACCTCGGGGCCCCCCCGCGGCTTGCCGCATGAATTGTGCCGGCCCCAGAGGGCCACAAGACGGGCCAAGAGGGCCCCACGGGGCCCCCAAGACGGTCCAAGAGGCCTCGAGTCGCCGAAATATTGTTCCAAGACGCCCAAGATGGCCTCAAGATGGCCCCAAGATAGCCTAAAAGGCCTCCACGACGCCCCAAAAAGCATCCACGAGGCCTCCCGCGAGGGCCCCCAAAACATATATCATTCACGTTCCGTACGGTTTCGAGGGATGTTGGCGTTTTCGCCTTTTCTGCTTTCCGACGCTCCAAAACGGCCCAAGAGACCCCCAAGACCACCCCAAGACGGCCAAAGAGGCCTCCAAGAGGGTCCCAAGACGGCCCGAGAGGACCCCAAGACGGCCCAAGAGGTATCCAAGACGACCCAAGAGGACCCGCAGACGGCCCCAAAAGGGGCCCAAGAGAGGGAACACGAATCGAGACTCCGAGCCTTCCGCCCCAAGAGGCCCCCAGGAGGCCCCAAGAGGCGCCCAAGAGGCCCCAAGAGGCCCACTAGAGGCCCCAAGAGGCCCCAAAGGCCCTAAGAGGCCTCCCACGAGATCCCAACGAACATCAGAGAAGCTTCATACCCACAACCAAGGCACGGTAGCGGGATTGGCCGAAGGCCATTCGATATATTATGGTAGCTGCGGCGGTGACAGCTGCGTGGTGTCATCTATTGATGCAGCGTGTGTGGTGCAAGCCATGTGGCGGGCCCATGTGGTGGGTGCTTTGTGGAGCAAACTGTGTGGTGAAAGCTGTGTTTTGCAAACCTGCTATGGGCTGCCATGCATCGATGTGCTGCAATATATGTGGTGAAAGCTAGCCGGTACGAGCCACCTGGTGCACGCTATGCGAAGCAAGCTATGTGCTGCACCACGAGGCACCCATGGACAGCTGCCCACGGGGCGCCCACCTGAGGCGCACCCGAGCGGGTATGCGAAGCCCTGGAAGCGCACGGGGCGCCCACGAAGCGCCAACGGGCTGCTCCCGACCTGGCAACAGGCGAAATCCCCGCAGACCCGTCCAACTACTCAAGCAACACAAGTTAGAACTCCCAGGGCAAGCCTTGTTCGGATAAAGATCTGGGATGAAGGGGAGGAGGAACAGCAGCAATTCCCTCGTCAGAAGCGAGGGGCGTCTCGAAGTCCCAATACATCTCTATCGCTTCGAGGTGCGCATATGCCGACTCCAGGCGGGGCCCTCTGCGCCAGAAGATCCTGAAGCGCACATTGAGTTGTACAGCATCGTCACGAGTAAGAGAACTGCAAAAAGAACAGCTGAACGTGTGGGCAACGACAAGAAAGGGGTCTTACGCGAGATACCATTGCGACCTTACGCAGTGGCTTACGCGGGCCGCCATCGCGTAATGCTACATTGGAAACGAGGGCGCTTACGCGTGACCTTACGCGGGCAACTCACGCGGGAATATCGGCGCCATTGGGGTTTAACTTGCCTGCAGGCGGCTTGAGCCAACATGGCCCGACGACGATGACGAAGACGACGACGACACGACATCACGGAATCGATCGTCCTCGACCCTCGACGGCGACGGCCAAGACGACGACACCATCCCCCGTCCACACTACATCAATCCCCCCTCGACCCCCAACGACCACGACGACGACCACGATACGACGACGATGACGACGACGACCACCACGCCGATGACTTATTACAACGACGGTGACGAGGACGAGGACGACGACCTACGACCCACGAGCCACGACCAACGGCCTACGACGAAACGACCCACGACCCACGACCCACGACCCACGACCCACGACCCACGACCACGACCCACGACCCTCGACCCACGACCCACGACCCACGACCCACGACCCACGACCCTCGACCCACGACGACGACGACGACGACCGCGACGAGGGCTTACGCCTGGGGCGCCCGTTATCTGCATGGCGCGCGCCGCGGCCGCGGCGGCCGGGGGGCGCGCAAAGGCCTGCCCCCTGGCGCGAGGCCCTGAGCAGGCCGGGGGGGAGCAGGAGGAAGGAGGAAATCGAGGAAGGAGGAGGACGACTTCGAGGAAAAAGGAAGACTTCGAGGAAGAAGACTAGGAGAGCCGTCCTCCTGCTCCTCCTCCTCCTCCTCCTCCTTCTCCTCCTCCTTGCCCTCCTCCTCAGGAGGAGGAGGTTATCCCCTCCTCCTCCTCCTCCTCCTCTTCCTCCTCCTCCTCCTCCTCATCCTCCTTCCCCCCTCATCCTCGTCCTCGTCCTCGTCCTCCTCTTTCTCCTCCTCCTCCTCCTCCTGCTCCCGCGGGAGGAGAAGCGGGTCTCCATGTGGCCTTGCGCGCTCCTGACCTCCGCTGGGCCCCCGCAGGCCTCCCTGGGCCCTGCACGAGGCGCGCGGCGCAGCGCTGCCCGCCTCCCGGCGCCAGGGGGCGGAGCCTCGGTCAGGAGATCCCCCAGGGAGGTCCTTAAAGGACGAAGCCCGGACGAGAGTATATTCAGGTAAGGATACGTTCACGCGAGGATCAATTTAGGCGTCGCTTATTGGGGGGCAATCGATAGGGATGGAAGAGATGTGCACAAGGGGCTCAGGGGCCACTTTAGCGGCCCTGAAGGGCCCCTTGTCTGCAGCCCCCGCTGCCCCCCCATTGATCGCATCCCATCACGCGACGCCCAATCAATCGAAAATCTCTGTGATCCGGCGGCTCTGGAGGATGTCTCGGGCGCCGCGGCCTTCTCAGAGCATTCCCGAACGCTCTGAGGACGTTCAAGAGCGCTCTGGAACGTATTCGTCCTTGCAGCATTTGGGCAAGGGATGAAACCGGATTCGGCAGGATTAAGCCGGATTCATCAGGATGAAGCCGGATCAGAGCCAGTTTGCGGCCAGGGATAGACCAGCGCTGATTGAGAATTTGACCTCCCATGAATTGCATCCTCACGTGAGTGACGAAAACAAACGGGCCTTGCGCGAGATGGCACAGCGACCTTACGCGGCGGCTGGCGTGACCGCCAGCACTGCACGCCACATTGGAAACGGGGGCGCTTACGCGCGGCCTTGCGCGGGCAGCTTGCGCGCCAATGTGGGTGAAGACAACCCCGTTTTTCTCCGTCGCTCACGTGGTGCCTGATGTGTCAGCTACGTGCGCGAGAATGCCTAAAGCACGTGGTGGTTGATGTATGTCAACTGGCAGGTCGCTTCTGCACGGCAGAGGTCGGACCCGAGGACACCCGTTTGTCATGTTTGTCTTCCTCCTGCTTGCCTAATTCTATGTTTCCCTCCTCCCAGCTCCCCCCTCTCTCAGACCGGCCCCGCAACCTCCGGCGATGCAGGCAAGAGAGGGCGAACGAAAGAGAGAGAGAGAGAGAGAAGCTGCGGAGAGCCCCCGCCTCACCGCTCCTCCCTCTCCTCCTCCTTGTCGGCCTCCTCCTTGTCCTCCTCACTGCTCCTCCTCTTCCTCTTCCTCATCCTCTTCCTCGTCCTTGCTTGCTACCGCCCTCCCTCTCAACTCCTGCCTCCCCCTTCCCCTCTCCCATTCCTCCACCTTGCTCTCCTCCCCCTCCTCCTCCTCCTGCTCCTTCTCCTCCTCCTCCTCCTCCTCCTCCTCCTCCATCGCCTCCCTCCCGCCTCCCCCCAGTCCCTCGGATGTCCCCGAAGGCCCCGAGGTATCCGAAAGCCTCAAGAGGCCCACGAAGGTCCAGAAACGCCACGATAATTACATCAACCATACTCGGTTCTCCTCCATTCCGTATGAAAAAACTGTTCCCTGTCGCACCCCGGCGCCAGTCGACAGGGCGGGGCGGGCGTTTCGCCTGATATGTTTTTCCCGCTTATGATCGCGAACATGAAAAATGGACAATTTTCACGGAAGGGGGCCGTCTTTCAAAATGTGGCTCTCGCCCTAGCGCCGTGCACGCCCGTCTTAGAACATGAATGCGTTACACGGATGAAGGGCGGGTGGTGTTCAAACTGTGGCTCTCGCCTTCGCGCAGCACACATTTGTTGTAGAACTTGCAAGATATCCACACATGGAGGGGGACTCTTTTTCAACATGCGGCTCTCGCCTCAGCCCTGCGCACAGTTCTGCTGCAAGGAGCTTCACTCATAGAGGGCGGTTGCTTTTCAAACTTGTGTTTTCGCCTCAGCGCCGCGTACATGTGTGCTGCGATTTTGCAGCAAATTCAAGGATTCGCATGAATGACCACCCAGAAATGATGTTTTGGCACGACGTCGGATTAGCAGGGCGCAACAAGTACGTCAATTCGTGGTGAAGAAATATCAGGCGTGGTGGGGGGGGACTTGTTCATGAAGCGGTACTCGATCGCGGAGTTCCGCCTCAGCATCTCCCTGTCGGTCAGCTCGAAGCTGCAGGCAGGGAGTCGTACAAGGCGCGGTCCAGGAAAATCGAGTGATAGTCCGTATCCGCTTCTGCACTCGCATCTCCGTCACAGAGTGTGTCCATGATGCTCTTCGTGTGTTTGCTGTCTAGCCCTTGGCACCGATGAGAACAGCCAGGTCGCCGACAAGATACATTGAGCGTAAAGTTCTTGCGCATTGAGAAAAGAACATGCCGTGAACTTGCTCGCCAGTTCTGCTTATTGGTCTCCTCTATCCAATTCGCGTGTGCTGTGAATCTGTACGTTGAGAGCTGCTGCCAATCTCCCAAGGACATATTGCCTAAGACGTTGGGGCGTCCTGGGCACGTTTTCACCGCGTGATGCCAAGATACCGTCACATCATCTGTTTTCTCCTGAGTCCGTGCCAAATTGATTGTGAGTCTGCACCTCGCACACACCAGGGTCGTTGAACTCGCTGAGCTGAATGGGGTCAAGAACAGATGGATGTTGGTGTCTGTTCGAGCTTCGATATTGTGGAACAATCTCTTCTCCTCCTTCCGCTTGTGAAAGTTTGGCAGACGTGCAAGGAGTTTCCGATCAGCGTCAGAGAAAGAATCAGCATGAGTTGTTCGAAGAGTATTGTGAAAAAAAGACGTGTCCTGTTCTGAGTCCGCGCCGTTCTCATGGCTGAAGATCCGTCTTGAGCTGGAGGAGGTTGCTTGCCTCGTAATCGCCGTTGTCGATCTTTGCGTAGATCCCCTTTCCACACCGGCGTAACTTGGCTTGCAAAAAACATGATCTGTGCCCATGGAGTTATCGTCGGTTTCTTGACCTGCTCCACGGCAATGTTGAAAAGGAAGGAATTGACGGCGGCTGGTTGAAGGAGTCGGAGGCGTCCGTGAAATCCCGTCGAAATTTTGATGCCGAGCGGATAGAGCTGGCGACATTCCTTGACGAGCTGGAACACGCTTTGACTGACGCTCTGGCCTTTGTGATATGATTTCTGCTTACCGAAACCAAAACGCGAGAGCAGGTTGGAACTGGCAGCGGTAAACATTTTGGCAGCTGTCCCAATTGAAGGTGTTGAAGACTGTGTACGCCATCCCATGTATTCTCCCGTCGCGAGAGCGAAGTCAACAACCGCCATAATTGAGCTCGTCTGGTCGATCGCCATGGTAGTTTGATCTGGTATCTCTGGCGGCTCGGCGTCTATGAATGTGGATGACCAATACCAGAATAAGGCCGGCACGTTAGAAAGTTTCCATTGCCAATCATTTTTCGTGAATGTGACCTCTGATAAGGTTCGGCCTCTCAACCAAGGTGTGCGCTCCACAATAGGACGTGGCTCCCAGATCACGTGGGGGAACACTTCCTCCTTCGTGGCTGTCATAGTCGGGGCTCTTGCTGGTGTCGAAGCTGTCGCAGGGGTCGTCGGCTGTGTCGAAGCTGACGGTGGAGTGGTCGAAGGCGTGGCTGGCGTTGTGGAGCTTGCCGTTCGGGTCTTGCTTGTTAATCTGCGTGGAGTCGCAAATGCCTGTTGAGCTGGATGTGGGGCTGGAGGAGCTGGAGGATCGAGATCGCCCTCTGGGTCATCCATTCCCCCTCCCCACGGATCTTCTTCATGAAGGTCACGAAGATGTGATTCTTCTTGGTCTGGAGGATCGAGCTGCTCGTGGACCTCTTGGTAGTATCGGTTGAGTTGTTCACCGCGGGGCTTGCGCCCAAAAAGAACAAGTGCCTCGGCTGCTCGTGCTTGTATAACGTCCAAAAGCATGGCCTGTACGTCTTGCTCTCGTTTGACCCGCGCTTTGTGGGCAGCAGGGAACTCGCCGTTGATTGCTTTGAGTCTGGCTGCTGTGGTGGCTCTCTTGTCAGCCTCCTCGTTCTTGAGTCGAAGGCGCATATCTGCTTCAGATTCAGCATCTTTTTGCTCCTTGGTTTGATGGCTTTGAATTTTGCGTGTCCTGAAGTTGTCGTGACCCTTGGCCTCAATTGCTGCCTGCAACCGAGCCCGCAGATCTCTGTGAGACTTAAAATTCGTTTTCTGCTGATTAATGATCTTGAGGAGCCCACGACAGACGTAACTCGAGTCAGTCAAGTAAATACTCCGTGTCCAGTTCCAAAGAGCCCACCTCAAGGCGCTCCGAAGTTCTGCACGTTGAGCGTTGTGTACAACTCCTTCAAGTCCGAGTGTGCTGTTATGACTGTGTCGATCTCCATAGAAGAGGCCGCAGCCCGCACGCCTAAGCCTGAAGTCTGTCTGGCCGGGCGCCGCACCGTCACCGGCTACGATGGCGAAACCCTCACTATCTACTGAGAGCTCGTCCTGACTGTCGAGGTCAGGAGGACGGGCTTCGTGTAATTCATGCGATTGTGGCGTGGCTATCTCCGCGAAGAAACCGTCGAGGCGAGGGTCGTCGAGGATCAAACCTGCAATTTTGGTGGCCTCAGGAAGCGAGTTGAAGTCGAAGTTGGGATACTTTTCGTACAGCCACTGCCTGTTTTTGTCAAAGTGGGCGCACTTCCATAGCGAATGAAGTGGAGTTTCTTCTTCTTGCCAACAAAACGGACAGAGGTTCGATGAGCAATAACCTGCAGCGGGTAAACGAGATGATGTTATCAAGCCTCCACTCCACAAGATACGTGCTGCTGCTCTCCTTTTGGCTGGCCATTTGTATTGAGTGAACTCGGTCGTGCCATTGAAGTCGCTGGATGCTCCTTGTCTTCGACGACGCTGCCGGCGGTGTTGAGATACGGTGGCCTCGTAGTCGATGGACTTCTCTAGCACTCCTGTAAATTCTGATCGAAAATGGTGGTCTGTCTTGGTTTTGACATAATACCCCGTCCGCCACACATGTCTACGCAGATCCTGTCGTATGATGTGCCTCCATAGTAGATCATCACCCGCTACCAAAGAAATGAATCCACCTGAAGATCTCTCAATAGTCAACTGTCCGTCGATCTTCCACTTAAGATCTGAACAAATTTGAAGAAGAACCGAAGCAGGGCCGTGAGAAATAGCTTGCTGAGCTCCTCGTTCGTGGTACTGCTGGAGTACTTCGATCAAGCGCTGCTTCAGTTTGGTCCTTTTTTGCATCAACCTCCGAATAGTGATGAGTGCCCAGTATCGGCTGGCCTGCCATGGGTCCAGTAAGTGACCGTGACAAGCAAGAGTAAAAGTTGAGACTCGAGATCGGTACATAACCTTTCCGTTCATCAAGATACGATGTAATTTAGCTCCAAGGTGCTGACAAGTCGTGCGATTGGGCAAATGCAGTTCTGAACCGTAAAATCCCGCTGAGCTCCCATACACCGTCATACATCTCTCTCGCCATTCAAAGGAACCCGGGCCTCGCTCGACACGATCAATAATATGATGAAGTTTTGCGCGGCGCTTGTGTAGTAGCCGTTGCCGTTCTGCTTGCGAGCCTGTAGTGCCGTCACACAAGATACCGCCCACTCAGATGATGGCCTTGGTCAGGGTGGCGCCCTGGCTGCTGAAGATGGCATTGAGCTTTTTGCGTAAGGACGGAGAATTTGTCAATATCTTCGTCTTCTTGGAATTTAGAGAACAACCTGACAATGTGCCAAACTCTCTCGAAACATCCCAGGCTGTCGTGATAGAGTGGACCACGTTGTTGATGTCCGCCGATGTTTTTTGGATGCTGCTGTCGTCGATGAAGCCTTGGGTGTCACACGATGATTTGGCCATCACCGACTTAGTCCAGACTGCCATCAAGGATAACGCCACCGCAATACTGTAAGATGGGCCCTCGAAGTACCCAGTCCGTCGTTGTGTACTGTCTTTTTCAACACTGCGTCCGAGTTTGAATCGATAACGTGCGTCATGAACCAATCTGCGCTCTGCGTTGAAGTAGTTGTGTGCCTCCTCCGTTGTCTCCTCGTGGTCCATGTGCTCGATGATCAGATTGTTGTCGATGTTGCGATGGATCGTAGAGAAGAACTTGGACCAGTCGATCGATAGGCAAGCGCCGTGTAAGCCTGCCAGTTGAGCTGATTCCATTTCCAAGGCGTGAAAAACCGATACCTCCTGGGCCTCATGTGTAGGTCGAGCCCCATGCATAGCCTCAGGCATCCAGCTCTCTCTCCACGCTGTAGTGTCATTCCATCGCACATGTTGCCATGCCGCAATTAATGGAGAAAAATTTGAGATAATCCTGGTCTGTGTCGCCGCAGGGAGAACTAGATATTCAGGATTGTCATCATCTGCTTCGGGGGGAGCCTGCTTCCTTAATGCGCTACAGTATACCTCAGTCAGGATACTTGGCCAAGCTGCTCCATTTTCTATATAAGTGAACATCTCTGTGTAGAGTGCCGTGATGCGAAGAGGCAAAGCTTGCAACTCACACACACACACACGATAGCCGCATCCAGCCGTAGCTCGGGCAACATTCAGGTGTTTCAGAGCAGAATGAAAGGCTTGTGGACATAGTGTATCAAGTTTGCAAGGTCGCTTGTCGATATAAGAGCCGAAGGTATTGAAGAACTTGTGCCAGTCTCGGTCCTCGGCGTCGTCGAATATAGGCTGCCATACTTTGCGGAGTTCGTCGAGTACGTCTGCTGGGAGGACAGCGTATTTCTTGTCGCCGCACTGGCCGCTGATGCCTTGGCGTTCTCACCCGGGCGTAGGTCTAAGGCGAGTGCAGTGATCGGCTCGTCTCGAGGAGGTCTCATATGATTTTTGAGAGTTCGTCGATCTGATGCTGTGGATGATCCTGTGATGGCCGCAGACATTTTGGCTCTCCATATTTTGATTCGTGTTTTGACTGCCACATCCTCATATTTCGTGATCTGTGCCTGCATTCGTGGGATGAGAGCTTCAGCTTCTGATAATGTGATCCAAATCTTGGCAAACAGCGTATCCGTGATAACAATCTTCTGAATGTCATGGACCGTCGTGCGCCACAGCTTGATCATCTCCGTGCGTAAACATAAGGAAGGTTGACCTGTTCGCTGATGTTTTTAACAAGTTCATGTACCCGGCGCAGTGCTTTGTGTAAAGCGGAGGCCTTTTGGGTCCAAGGGTCTGAGGCGCAAGAGCGAGTTGATGCAGGACATGCCAGGGGCTCTTCGTGAAGGCGAACCGTGGTACATCTGCCGCTTGCGCCGTTGTCCAAAGCTGGACCTTTGCAACGTTCCGTGAGGTACTTCTCCGCTAGTGTCGTGGCCAAGGTCATCATGAGCTCCGCGTCCTGGGCGTTCCGAGCCTGCGTGATCTCAGCATGGTGCGTGGTAAACAACTCGTTGAGATAGGTCTCCTCCGTGTCCTCATCGTGTGGTGGAGCTCGATCTAACGGAAAAGCCTTCGGGACTTGAGTTGTCCATCGTGATTGAGACAACGCTCGAGTAGAAATTTCGATCCTGATCGGCAAGTGGCTGGGCAGCTTGGCGTCTCGAATGACCTCGAACTTGGTAATCAACTGCGCCGCAGCTCTGTTGGCTATGATCCGATCTGGACGGGTGATGTATTTCCCATGGCTCTCTCGATCCCACTTGTCGAAGTCCTTGCCGCAGTAAGTCGGGGCAGGAGGTCCTCCAATGGCAAACCGAGCGCCAATGTCTATATATAATCCTGTAGCGATCGCGTCCTGGAGAACGACCGATCTGTCTGTGACGTTCGTGTCGGCACAGATGATGACTGGCTGCTCGCCGCAGCTGATCCCATCTTCCAGAACTTTGTCTAAGTGCCGTTCCTTGCGTAGCGTAGCCGCTGGGCCGTGATCTGCGTCGTTGTAAAACGAGACCAGGTGAAGAAAGTGCGCGGGTGCCGTACTCGTTCCTGCGTACACAGGAAGGACCGCGCGCATATGTCGTGATAATTCATATACTTGCTTGGCTGCTGTCGATCGTGCAGCACAAGGTTGTAAGTTGAAGGAAGGCCGTCCCATAATGGCAACCCCACCGTGGATGGCTGTGCATTCCATAGTCGGAGATGTCTTGGGACGAAGCTGCTTTACAGGTAAAGGCTTGCCTCCTAAGAAGGTCATGCCCTTTGTTCTTGCCAAACTCTCAGCGCGTTCCGTAGCCAAGGCCGTGAGCCGTGTCTCCTGAACCACATAGAGATCAGCAGGATGTGAAAATAAGGAAGTGATATTCTTTTTCCAAGATGTGATGTTGGCCGAGATCAGGACAAGCTTGTCGCTCTTGATCGTGGCCGTACCGTTGGAGTTAGGCTGCGCCATTGCGAGTTGAGCTGCGGCTTCTCCCGTCGCTGCGACGTCGCAAAACGGCCAACTCAGCTGATAGTTGTGCCTTCAAAGTGCGTACCTCGTCCATGGCTGCCTTGAACTCAGCATTGCGTGCGCCCATTCTGTCATCGACGGCTCGTTGAAAGGCAGAGACAGGTTGGGCTACATCCTGTGGTGCAGTCTCGGATGGCACTTGTCGCCGTATGGGGGCTGCATAATACGATCCATTCCTCTGTTCCAAAACCGCAAAGGCGAACTGTTTCATCGCGGAGGTCGCCGCCGTATGCTTTTTATTCATAATAACTGATGCGGCCTTGTCTTTGCTCATCACCGTTTTTGTCGCGTCCTTCAAAAAGACAGAGGTGGGATCCTCATCGACAACCATGACTTGCGATTTGTCCGTCAACTTTGCGATGGTGACCATATGCGTTCCCATCAAGAACGTGTCCCCTGGTGGGGGCGCATGGGCCTTGACCGTTACTCGGAGATATTTTCCTCTCCGCTGTGCCGAAGGATACTGCACGGCCCAAGCCAGGGTTGCCAGAAGTAACTTTGGAATAGCCTCGGTCGGCGTGCCGGCAGGTATCTTGTCGAGAAGATATCGGTCAGTAGGCGGGGCGTCCTCTTTCCTGATGAGTTGCCAACCAGTGGTAGTGTCTTCTTTCCGAATCCTCAATTTAATAGTCACCCCGTCGCGGCACAATTTCATCCCGTACGTGGGCTCAGATATTGTGTCCAGTTCCTCATGGGCCTCCTGCGTCGTCCAATGTCCCGTCTGTTTGGCCCGTAGCGGGATCCAGGTTTCATTCGTGCGCTCGCGTGTCTTGCCAATCTCGTCATAACCTGCCGTGTCAAAGAAGATCCCGTCAGTGCCAGATGATTGCCGAAGAGTGCGCGCCATTGAAGATGTGGTCGTTACGTCGATACGTAGCGAGGCCTGTCCTTTAGCAGCTCCGTCGTATTGTTTGATGGAGTTAATCGTAATATCTAGGTCTGTCGCTGCGGCTGCAGAGTAGACCTTCGTGATGTGAGCTTGGAGAAAGTCAGCTCGCACCACTTTCCAATTGTGTTTCTTGGCCTCAGCATCTAAATCATTGACGTGATTTCTCAATTTGTCCAAAGAAGAAGAGCCAAGCTTGTGTTGTTTGAGAAGGGTCTTGTAGATCTCATCTGCATGTATTTCTGAAATTACAGCGATCGAGTTGGTGAATCCTTTGGACCATGCTGGAGCTGCAGGTGCCGTGGCTCGATACTTGGGAGGTTCCAAAGGGTCGTCGCTGAGGGTAGGTGGAATACTCCAAAGATAGCCGTCTCGAGTG